CCACAGGCTGTTACAGATGCATTGCTACAACAATAGCATCAAATCCAAATAGCAATGGGGAATGGTAACAGGATGGCCCATTGAGTAAGGAAGCTTGCTGCCAAACCTGACAGCCTCATTCAATGGGGGGAGCGAACACACTCCTCCAAAGCTGTCCTCTCTTCCTGGCACATACACCGTGGCACTCACATAAGTAAATGGATGTCAGCCGGGCATGGTGGAACACTCCTTTAATCCCAGCACTCAGGAGGCCAGCCTGGTCTACAAAGTGAGTTCCAGGACAGCCAGGACTGTTACACAGAGAAACCTTAACTCAAAAAAAAAAAAGCTAGGAGTGCCTGTACCCTTGTTAAAGTCCCTCTCCGGCCTTAGCACATAGCACAAGCATGCACAGATAAAATGCAAATCCCACAAACATAAAATAATTTGTAAATTTTATTTTATGTATATGGGTGTTTTGCCGGCATGTGTGTCTGCGTACTACATGTATGCAGTGGCTGAAGGGACCTGAAGAGGGCATGAGATCCTGGGTCTGAAGTTACAGGTGATTGTGAGGTATGGGAGCCCTGGAACTGAACCTGAGTCTTGGGAGGAGTATGAAATTCTCCTCCCAAGACTCAGGAGTCAGTAGAACTGCTCACACTCAGGACATCATGGACGACTGTGAGCGAGCCATGGAGCTGGACCTGGGGAGAAGCCAGCCTTGAGAACAGTGAGAATAGAAACTTCTGTTGTTTAAACCCAGCCTGTGGATTACTGTCATGACTACCCCACAAACCAATACAGTGACCCATAACTGTGGCCTCAGAGAGCCTCAGCAGCCACAGGGGCAGGGGTGGGGTGGGGTACGGGGTAGGATGGAGACAAAAACTAGAAGATGTTGATTGTCTGTGCATAGTCTTTCTCTCTTTTTTGGGGGGCGGGGTTCTAACTCAGGCTCTGCTGCTGAGCTGCATGTCCACCATTACTGTAGGGATAAGACTGATTCGGTTTTCCCTGAACTGATTTTGGAAATTTTCTCTACTGCCCAGCAATACTACTCCTTCATAATTTACTAAACAAACCAGTTTTACTGCCTGCACATTGACCGTGTTCAGCTAAGTCCACATGGCTGCCCAAGAAGCAGGGTCAAAACTGACCTGAAGATACACTGTACCCCCAAGCCAGGGTCAAAACTGACCTGAAGATACACTGTACCCCCAAGCCAGGGTCAAAACTGACCTGAAGATACACTGTACCCCCAAGCCAGGGTCAAAACTGACCTGAAGATACACTGCACCCCCAAGCCAGGGTCAAAACTGACCTGAAGATATACTGCACCCCCAAGCCAGGGTCAAAACTGACCTGAAGATATACTGTACCCCCAAGCCAGGGTCAAAACTGACCTGAAGATATACTGTACCCCCAAGCCAGGGTCAAAACTGACCTGAAGATACACTGCACCCCCAAGCCAGGGTCAAAACTGACCTGAAGATACACTGCACCCCCAAGCCAGGGTCAAAACTGACCTGAAGATATACTGTACCCCCAAGCCAGGGTCAAAACTGACCTGAAGATACACTGTACCCCCAAGCCAGGGTCAAAACTGACCTGAAGATACACTGTACCACCAAGCCAGCTTTCCATCCTTTCCGTTCTTCTGTGTTTGTTTACTTGAAATGGGGTCTCACCATGAAGCCCAAGCTGACTTCAAACTCTCAGTCCTCCTGCCTCAGCCTCTTAGATGCTCGGATCACAGTCGGACATCACCATGCCATCTGCTACAGAGCATTCTAGAGTTCCTGCCTCATTACGTTCCACCCAACAGGCCAGCAGGCATCCTCTGTCTGTCTCTGTCTCTCTGTCTCTCTCTGTCTCTCTGTCTCTCTCTGTCTCTCTCTGTCTCTCTGTCTCTCTCTGTCTCTCTGTCTCTCTCTGTCTCTGTCTCTCTCTCTCTCTGTCTCTGTCTCTGTCTCTGTCTCTGTCTCTGTCTCTCTCTCTCTCTCTCTCTCTCTCTCTCTCCTCTCTCTCTGGCATTGATGGCCTGAAGGCTGTGAATGGTAAACAGGACTCACACCTCATGGAGTGTGGGATCCAGAACCTGCTGAGCTCTGGACACCTCCTCCTCTGCTGATTCCTCCATGCTTTCCTCCAAACTCCCCTCTTCAGTAAGAGCAGCAGAACGCGCAGGGCTCTGGGTGGAGGACTGTCTGTCTGTCTGTCCCCGCCTTTCCCTCTGGCAGCTTCTATCTTCTAAGGCTCAGGACTCTCTCTACTTAAGCTCTTTCACGGAGCTTACATCTGGTCATCTTTCACAAGCAGGACACTTTCTCAGGGAAGCCCTCCTTGGCTTCTTTTTTGGCACTCCTTTGTACTCTGATTTGCTAGACTGGCCATCTGATTAATGTTCCTTTTCCTGTTCCCAACTTTCAGATTCACAATACCAGAATTAATGACCCTAGTATGAAACCTCATTCACTGTGCCCCCAGAGCCTGGGATAATAGTCGGTATGCAAATTTGTTGGCTGAATGAATATTGTTGCTGTTATTGTATCCCATGGGAGTATGTATGTGAAGGCACACTGCCCAGATCTGTCTTCAGAAGGGTAGTGGTAAAGCCAAGAGCACATCTGCAGTCCCAGCATTTGGAAGGTCAAGGCAGAAGGACCAGAAGTTCAAGGCCATCCTCAACTGCATAATAAATTTAAGACTAGCTAGACTAGAGTTTCACGTAACCCTGTCTGGGACTGGCATGGTGGTGCACACATGCCTTTGATCCTAGAACTAGGGAAGCCAAGGCAAAGGATTCTGAGTTCAAGGCCAGTCTGGTCTACACGATAAGCTACAGACCAGCCAAGGCTGCATGGTAAGACAGAACAAAATAAAACAAGAAAGAAAAAACCTGTCTGGAGAAGGTGGGGCAGGAAAGGAAGGGTAGTGTTCAGATCTGCACTTTCGAATCACTGCAGTGTTCCTGGTCTCTCTGCTTGGGATACCCCCAGCTAAGGCCTGACCCATGGAGTTGCTAGTGGGACAGTGTTGTCCGAGGCAAATGGCATTAGAGGCAGGACTCTTCCCCTGGGCACTGTGTTCTCCAGAGCTCCCTTTGGTCTCTCCAAGATTGTCTGTTGATGCATATATCAGCTGGCACTCCGTTGCCTCTCAATTTCAAGTTCACTCCCTTGCTTAGAAGACCGAGGCAAGAGCCTCATGATTTCGAGGACAGCCTGAGGCCGGCCTGGGTTATACAGAAAGACCCTACCAAAATACACAGAGGTGGGAGAAAGAGAAGAAGAGGAGGAGACAGACAGACAACAGACAAACTTGCATCTCATGCCTGTAACTCCAGTATAGGCAGAGCAGAAAGATTACACTGAGTTCGAGGCCAGCCAGAACCACATAGGGAACCAGTATCTCGAAGGAATGAACAGATGAACGAACGGAAGAACAAATATTAACGGGGTTGGGGGTGGGGGTGCCTGGAACTGGGTGCTTTCCTCAGTACTGGCTGGGCCTCCTGGAATTCACGCTGGGCCTGCACTCGGGACATGATGATGCGGAGCTTTGCCGGTAGAGGGCACTGGAGGGTCAGTGTGGGCAGAAGGTGTACCCGCCTATGTGTGTCCTCTAGTGATCATCACCCCAGCCACAGGGCGGAGTAGCTGTCAGCGCCCCCGAGGCCCCCTGCAGCCCTCCCGAGGTGGATGCCGCCCACGTTGGACCTCACATCCGCAGACGCCCTCGTCCCACCGGCCACCACCAGCCTCAGTCCCTGCAGCTGCGGTTGTTCCGCTGCCGGTGACTATGGAACAGCTGGAGCCAGGCACCCTCGCAACTCCTCCACATCCATGCATGGAGAGTACCCTGATTCCTCCGGCTTCCCCTAGGAAGCTTTTAAGTTCTCTTTGTGTCTTTGTTACCTTTCTGTGTAAACTTGATCTCTTTCTGTATTAATCAGACCCTGATTTTTTTTTTTTTTTGTAATACTGGAAGTTGAACCCACGGCCTTTCACATGCGCAGCAAGCACTCCATCACTGAACCATATCCCCAGTCCAATCGGTTCATTTTAACCACTGTGTAGTTTCTTCAGATTGGACACAGAAAGCTCCAGACCGCCCCACCTCCTGCGCTCCTGCTCTCCTTCCCAGGTATCAGACTAAGGGACACTCACCCCTCCCCATCCACTCCCCCTCCCGCACAGTCATTGCCCCCAAACCTCTTCACATGACTATTCCTTCTTGGCATCTGTCACTCAGAGATCCCAAACACGGAAGCTCCCCCATCAGGCTTGGAACACAGTCTGGTAGGGCCCGGTGTACCCTGCTTCCCCAGCCCTAAACCAGCTCTCTTCCAACATCTCCCCTCCCCGCCTCTCCCCTCTGCTCTGGGACTTCTTCAGTCAGTGTGGCCTCCTTGACGTTCAGATAGGCAAACCAGATCCCACCTGAGCGTTGTTGCTCTTGCTAGTCTGTGTTTTTCCTCTCTCAGTGCCAGAGATGCCGCTCAGGCCTCATGCACAAGCAAGAGAGGTACCGAACGCCAGACTGCCTGCTCACAGCCTGTCCAAGCCTCAGTGCAAGGCGTATTATTCGCTGACTCCACTCTGCCCTCCTCAGAAGTGCCACTTCCTGTAAGAGGCTCTCCATCTGCTTCCCAGACTCTTGTTATCCTGCTTTCTTTGTGGCACTTATCTCCTGCAACTCGATATTTCTCACCAGTATTCATCATTCACTTTTGTATTGGCCTCCACAGGGGAAGTCTCCTCTGTGAAACCAAGTACTTGGTCTTGAACGCCGCAGCACCCTCACGTACACCACCACACCACAGGGGCGCAGGAAACATTGGTTAACTGACTGAATGAAAGAGTGGTTTTGCTTTGCTACTGCCTCCCTTGAATGCCCTCTCTCCTCCCTCCTGCCTAAGGCCCAGCCTAGCCCACTTGTCCAGGAAACCCTCCATGACTTGTTCCTGCCCCCATGTCACAGGGTAAGTTTAGATGCCCGATATAGTCCAAGGGGAGTTTGCAGGCAGAAGAAAAGAGGTTGCTTTTATTGGAGCAGAGGGGTGAGGAGGAGAGGAGGGGGCTCTGGGCTTCAGGCTCTGTACCAGGGTGGTCTCAAAAGGGCAAGCGGCGTCACTTTTTCCATTCTTTCTTCTCGTAATCCCAGTGGGCAGCCAGGCCCTGTATGGGGTTGCTCTTCATGTCCAGGAGGCGCTGGAGCTGCTGGGCTTTCCGTTCCTCCGTCAGGGTGACAACCTTTTCCGGGAACACTGCAGGGAGGGCGAGGGCGAGATAGCCTCATCCCAGGTCCCCACAGCACTCTCCCGCTGAGCCCTGTCTGCAACCACACAGTCAGGGTCCCCTGCACGGAGGGGCATTCGAGGGGTGCACTCCTTGCTATCCCCAGGCTCTACCCCACCCCTCTGTCTCTGTGTCTCTTTTTGAAAAAGGATTTTACTATGTAGCTCTGGTTGTCCTAGAACTCACTATGTAGACCTGGCTGGCTTGGAACTCACAGAGATTCATCTGCCTCTGCCTCCCCAGTGCTGGGATTAATGGTGTACACCACCATGCTCTCCAGAGTCTTTTTTGTCCTGTTTATTTGGTTTTGGTTTTTTCAAGACCAAATAGCTGTGTAGCTTTGGAGCCTGTCCTGAAACTGTAGACCAGGCTGACATCAAACTCACAGAGATCCACCTGCCTCTGCCTCACCAGTGCTGGGATTAAAGGCCACCACTGCCCGGCTCAAACTCTTCTTAAAAGCATGGTCCAGGACCAGGACTTTGCTCGAAGCTTTGCCTTAGGCTTACTCCTTTCCCTCAGTGAGTCTATTCCCTCACTTATGTCTGGTCAATGGCAGGCTGACTTGAGGACTGCGAGTGCCACTCAGCCCCAACACTTCTTTCTCTACTGCGTGGCCTTGAACAAGTCACTTCACCAGTCTGAGCCTCACCTTCCTCCCGTCAGGAGTAGGCTCTGTTACGGGAATGGAGTAGGAGTGCTTCTGAGGTTCTGGGCATCTCTCTGGCTGGACAGATAGGAAGCACTGGCTATAGCCTCCCTCTAGACCGGAAGGGGGAGGGGGAGGTCGAATGATTGGGAGTAAAAGGTAGGTAGACACTGCTCACTTTACAAACCAGGAGGGGAGCTAGATGGTGGTATAGGCCTGGAACCCTAGCACTTGAAAGTTGAGGCAGGAGGATAGAGAGCTGGGCTACATAGTGATAATAAATACCAGAGGAGAACAACATTTAACTCAAAGACTGGACCCTCAGGGAGGGACTTGAGAGACCCTTACCTGTGGACCCTCTTAGCCTGGCCTCTATCCCTGGTACTTAATTTTTCCCCTACATGCATTTATTTGTGGGCTTGGCTGGGGGTATGCACAGTGGAATGCTCATTGAGCTATGGTGCATGTGTGGAGGTCTGAGGAGGTCGTTTTCTCCTTCCACCATGTGGCTCCCAGGAGCTGACCTCAAGTTATAGGCATGGTGGCATGCACCGTTAGCCACTGAGCCACCTTCGTTTGAGGCAGGGTTTCTTACTGACCCTGGCCCTCACTGCTCAGCTAGATCGACAGCAGGGATCTTCCTGTCTCTACCTCCCCAGTGCTGGAATTATAGATGTGCCCCACCATGTCCCACAATAATTAGTTACTATTGTTTCATGTGTTTAGACGTTTTGCCTGCATGCATGTCTGTGCACCATGTATATGTCTGGTGCCTGAGCAGGCCAGAAGAGAGTGCCATATCCCCTATTACACACAGTGGTGCCATATCCCCTATTACACACAGTGGTGCCATATCCCCCATTACACACAGTGGTGCCATATCCCCTATTACACACAGTGGTGCCATATCCCCTATTACACACAGTGGTGTCATATCCCCCATTACACACAGTGGTGTCATATCCCCCATTACACACAGTGGTGTCATATCCCCCATTACACACAGTGGTGTCATATCCCCTGTTACAGACAGTTGTAAGCTATCTGGTTGGTACTGGGAATGAATCCAGGTCCTCTGGAAGAGCAGCCAGAGTAACTGCTGAGCCGTTTCTCTGACCTAACGTACCCTCTTTTTATGCTAGCCCTGGGGATCCAAAGTCAGGTTCTCATGCTTTCATGGTAAGTACTTTTCTGACTGAGTCGTCTCCTAACCTCAGCATTGATCTGTCTGAGGCTGAGAGAAGGGCCCCTATGACACAGCAAATCCTGAGCTAGACCTTTTCCCAGACTTTCCCTTTTCATGTTTGTACAAGACAGGAATTCCCATCAAGCTCTTACAAAAAAAATCACAGCATGCTTCTCCCAGCATTTGGGAGACAGGGGGAGAGGCTGGCAGATCTCTGTCGATTCAAGGTCAGCCTGGTCTACATAGAGACTTCCAAATCAACCAGGAACACATAATGAGACCCTGTCTAAAATAAATGAACACTTGAAGGACTGGCAAAATAGCTTAATGGGTTAATGTGCTTGCCACCAAGCCTGACAGCTGACTCCCTAAAACTGTCCTTGACCTCCATTTAGATAAAATTTTAAAAGAAAAATGCTGGGGCTGGAGAGATGGCTCAGAGGTTAAGAGCACTGACTGCTCTTCCAGGTTCACAGCCATCTACAATTCAATCTGTCTGGTGCCCTCTTCTGGCATATAGGCAGAACACTGTATATGTAATAAATAAGTAAATCTTTTTTAAATATTATATTTATTATGTATACAATCTTCTGCTTGCATGCCAGCAGAGGGCACCAGAGCTCATTCAAGATGGCTGTGAGCCACCATGTGGTTGCCGGGAATTGAACTCAGGACCTTTGGAAGAACAGTCAGTGCTCTTAACCACTGATCCATTTCTCCAGGCCGTAAGTAAGTCTTTTTTTTTTTTTTTTTTTTTTTTTTTTGCTTTTTTGAGACAGGGTTTCTCTGTGTTGCTTTGGAGGCTGTCCTGGAACTCGCTCTGTAGACCAGGCTGGCCTCGAACTCACAGAGATCTGCCTGCCTCTGCCTCCCGAGTGCTGGGATTAAAGGCGTGCGTCACCACTGCCCGGCTCAGGCCGTAAGTAAGTCTTAAAAAACAAAAAGAAAGAAAGAAAAGAAGGATGCTGGGCAGTGGTGATGCACGCCGTTAGTCCCAGCACTTGGGAGACAGAGGCAGAATTTCAAGGCTAGTCTGATCTACAGAGTGAGTTCCAGGACAGGCTCCAAAGCTACACAGAGAAACCCTGTCTTCACCCCCCCCCAAAAAAACCCACCACCCAGGCATGGTGACTCACATGCCAGCACGAGAAATGTCAATCAAGATGATTGCTGCAAGTTTGAAGCCAGCCTAGGCTCCTTAGTGAGTTTCACGGCAGCCTGGGTATAGTAGTCTGAAGAATGTCCCGCATAGGCTCATACGTGTGAATGCTTAGTCATTAGGGAGTACCACTACTTGAAAAGGATTAAGAGGTGTGGCCTTGTTGGAGGAAGTGTGTCACTGGGGGTGGGCTTTGAGGTTTCAAAAGCCCAAGCCAATTCCAGTGTCTGTCTTCCTGCTCTCTGATGATGTCGAACTCAGCTACTTCTCCAGCACCATGTCTGCCTGTGTGTGTCACCATGACAATGTACTAACCCTCTGAAACTGTAAGCCAGCCTCAGTTAGAGTTAGAGTTGCCATTGCCATGGTGTCTCTTCACAGCAATAACACAAAGACACTGGGCTTAAGAGAAAGACCTTGCATTCATTCATTCATTTACTTGGTTGGGTTTTTTTTGGGAGGGGGGGGAACAGAGTCTCTCTGGGTAGCTTTGGCTGTCCTGGGACTCACTGCAGATCAGGCTTCCCTCAAACTCAGAGACCCATCCACCTGCCTCTGCCTCCTGACTGCTGGGACCAGTGTGTGCCACCACTCCCCAGCAAGATCTTGCATTAAAAAAGAAAAGTGTCAGGTCTGGAGGTGCATGCCTTTTAATCTCAGCATGTGAGTTTGAGGCCAGCCTGGCCTACATAGGGAGTAGGCCAGACAATAGTACATAGTGAGATCCTATTGGGGGGGGGCTTCTCAGAAAACAGCATTTTCCAGCTTCTCCTGTAGCTAAGTAAGGACATATTATTATCTGAGATCAGCCTGGTCTGCATAGTAAACCCTGCTTAAGAAAAAAGAGGAGGAGGAGGAGGAAGAAGAAGAAAGAAAGGAAGGAAGGAAGAAAACTGGTTGCAGTGTGAACACCTTTTAATCCCAGCACTTGGGAGGCAGATGGATCTCTGTGAGTTTGAGGCCAGCCTGGTCTAAATAGTAAGTTCCAAAACAGTCAAACCTACATAGTGAGACCCTGTCAAAAAAAAGAAAAAAGACAAGAGATTTGTGTCTTCTAACTGTTGAAAAAGTATGTTAAGAAACGCATGGCTAATACGTTGCAATCAGAACACCACCATTCATGCACCCACAGGGATCTAAGCCCTCTCCTTAAATTCTCACAAGAGCCCAGTCAGAGAGCTGGATGTTATTATTTCCATTTTGCTGATGAGAAAACTAATGCCCAGAGAGCTAACCTCCCTACATTTCCCCCTAGGTGGCCACGTTCTGTTCTTCAGCCTCCCTCTGTGGAGACTTTTCAGAACCCTTCAGTAAGTCTTAAATATGAGCTCAGCCAGTGACTATGGGCACTAGAGCATACATTGCCTACAGTCAAGTGACTGGTCCACTCACCATAGACCCGCTGCCACCAAATCACCAGAGCCGTGAATCCAATGAAAAAGAAGACACAGCCCATCACTGTCTTCCATTGGTTGGAGCGATGATTCATCTCTGCGAAGGTTTCGTGGAACTGGAGCCGGTACACTGGAGACGGGCAGTGTGCAAAAGGGGACTCCTGCAGATCCATGCCCAGGACCCAGGAGCCGGCTGTTAACCCCTCAACCCCTTGGCTGCCCCTTCTTGCACCATAGGCTGTTCACTCAGTCTCTGTTATAGAATATTATTTTAACTAGGCAAAGCTGAGTTACATTTGTTTACGCTGCAGAATATTACTTTAACTGTGTAAAAGTGTGTTACCTTTGTGCTGCATTTATCTAACTCCATAAAGATGTGTTGCATCTGTTTCACCTTGCCTGCCTAAGGCACCTGGTCTATACTAGCTGAATAATACTATCGGTCTGTACTAACTGAATTGGTCGAAAGAGCTGAATGGTCAATAGCTATACAGAAGAAGGGATAGGTGGGGCTGGGAGGCAGAGAGAATAGGAGAAGAAATCTAGGCTAGAGAAAGAAGAAAGGGAGAAGAGGAATGAGAGAAGAAGGAGGAAGAGAGATCAAGGGACATGCCCGGGGCCAGAAGCCAGGCAGACATAGAGAAGCAGTGAAAGTAAGATATACAGAAGAAAGAAAAGTAATGTGCTCCAAGGCAAAAAGTAGATAAAGAGAAACAGGATAATTTAAGTTAAAAGAGCTAACCAGAAATGCCCTTAAGCTAGTCAAGCATTCAAAACTAATGATAAGTCTCTGTGCCATGATTTGGGAGCTGCTTTGTGACCTAAAAGAAAAAGCCTGGTACACCTCTGAGTGTGCAAGTGTGTACATGACACATACATGCGTGAACGTGAAGGCTAGAAGTCACCATCCGGTGTCTTCCTCAATCACACTCTACCTTGTGTTTTGAGATCAGATTCTTATTAAGCACTTAATGTATACAAAGCATGGCAACTCTGTGCAGAGGTTCCTACCCTCATAGAATTTAGGAGGGGAGGACCCGATTGTTTCAGCAACTGTGTTAGAGGTAGGGGAGCTGTCTCCATTAGGGAACCTGAGAAAGCCTCTCAGAGGAACCCTTGGGACCAAGGTTTAGGAAATCAAACAGAGAAAGTCAAGTTGAAATTAAAACAAAGCTTGGTGTGGTGACTCACACCTTCAGTTCCAGCATTACTGAAGTAGAGGTAGACAATCTCAGTGAATTCAGAGTCAGCCTGGATTATGTATTGGATTCCAGGTCAGCTAAACTACTTAATGAAACCCTTTGTTGCAAAAATTAAAATAAGGCCTGGTGTTGGTAGTGCATGCTTTTAATCCCAGCACTTGGGAGGCAGAGGCAGGCAGATTTTTGTGAGTTCAATGCCAGCCTGGTCTACAGATCAAGTTCCAAGACAGCCAGTGCACCACAGGGAAAGCCTGTCTCGAAAAACTAAAACATTAAAAAAAAATTAAACTAAATGGCTCAGGCTGGACATTGGTGGCCCATGCCATTAATCCCAGCACTCGGGAGGCAGAGACAGGTGGATCTCTGTGAGTTCCAGGCCAGCCTGGTCTACAGAGCCAGTTCCAGGACATCCTCCCAAACAACTCGAGAAACCCTGTCTCGAAAAAACAACAACAACAACAAAAATTAAACGGCTCAGGACAGGAACAGATGGGGAAGGGGCAAGGAAGGGCAGTGTGGTTGAGGAGGAGGAGAGTGTCAGGAGCAGGTCCCACAGGACCTGGCCAGCCCCAGGGAAGATGAATTTGGGTCCATTCTAACTGAACAGGGAGGGTTGATTTCTGACACAGAAGTACAAAAACAAGCTTTTATGTGACAATTTTTTTTTAATCAGGACTTTCCTGACCTCCCCCTTTCCACTGAGAATTTTATCTACTTTGTAGAGCTTGCCTCCCCAGGCCCTCAGAAGAACAAGGGCTCTGGTCACCAATGCATCCCTAGATCTCTGACTGCACACTGTCTTGTATTGTTATGCATTTAAAAGTGTAAAACATTGATTTATTTTGTGAAAGCATCTCATTACACAGCCTAGGCTGCCCTTGAACCCACAATCCTCCTGCCTCAGTTATTCCTGGGGCTGGTATTACAGGCATATGTCACCATGCCAGCTTAAACCCTTTTTTTATTTTGTTTTGTTTTGCTTGCTTTGTTTTTCAATACAGGGTTTCTCTGTGTAGCCTTGGCTGTGCTGGAAGTCACTCTGTAAACCAGGCTGACCTTGAACTCAGAGAAATCAGTCTGTCTCTGATTCCTAAGTGCTGGGATTAAAGGCATGCACCACCACTGCCCGATTTAAATTTACTTTTATTTTATGTACAAATTGGTGTATTGCCTGCATGAATGTCTGTGTGAGGGTGTCAGATCCCCTGGAACTGGAGTTACAGACAGTTGTGAGCTGCCATGTGGGTGCTGGGAACTGAACCTCTGGAAAAGCAGCCAGTACTCTAACCGCTGGGCCGATTCTCCAACCCCCTCTTTGCCCTCCTTTTTTCCCTGCTTCCTCCCCTCCTTTTCTTTTTACCCTCCCCCCAGCCTTCCCTGCTTCTCTCCCTTCCTGCAGTTCTTGAAGAGCGTTGCCTATGTGAACAGTGCGTCTCTGTACCTTAAATAGCTCCGGAATGGCTGTGTGAAGGGAAAGTGAGCTCTGGCACAGGTTCTGGGCACAGCTGTCTGGGGCTGGGCAGTTTGGCTGCCGCAGTGAACCTCCACCCAGGCAAGAGCAGAGAGGGAAGGAGGTGGGGTGAAGCGGGGGGGGGACAGGACCCAGTGACAAGGGGCCCGGGAATGTTTGCTGAGAGCACTGGTGCCCTCCTGTAGCCCGCTCACCAACCGTCCCAGACTGTGCAGTGTGGCAGTGGAATGGTCCTGGTGGGTCCTGTGTGGGTCCAAGTCCTATGTCTGATAATTCCAAGTTGTGTGGCCCAGCCAGTGACTTCATCTCCCTGAGCTTCGGTTTCCTGTGACTGTGGCCAGTTAATGGTGGGTACTGGGACATACTTAATGAAGTGACATTTGGGTAAGAAGGAAAGAGGAACCTTCCCCTTCTGATTGGAAGGGAGATGGGTGGAATAGATAGAAAGAAAGGAAAGGAGGGAGGCGAAGAGAGAAGGAGAGGGGAGAGGAAGGGACAGGGAAGTGGGAGGAGGGGGAGGGAAGGGACAGGGAAGTGGGAGGAGGGGGAGGGAGGAGGAGGAGGGGGAAGGGAGGAGGGGGAAGGGAAGAGGGAAGAGGGGGAGGGAGGGGGAGGGAGGAGGAGGAGGGGGAGGGAGGAGGGGGAGGGAGGAGGGGGATGTGAAAAGAAAAGGAGCAGGCAGAGCACCGAGCATGGAAGTTTACAGGGCAGGGCTGCAGCCTGGCTCGTTCCCATCCATGCCAGCGCCTGCCTTTGTAGTAGATGCCAGCGAGAGAGGAATGGGTGTGTGAGCAGTGCCAGCTACTGCCCACTAGTACCCCTGGAAGTAAGAGACACCAGCACCCCCACTGTGGAAAGGAGGAAATAGGCTCCAGACAGCCCAGGTCAGCCCAGGGCCACACAGATGTCCTGCCTTCTTCCCTGCCTACCTCAGCCACCTCTCTGTGCCCACGTCGTGACATAAGGACCCTCCACACCTGCTCCTATGACACCCTCTCCGTGTCACTCTTATTCTTCCCCAGGAAGTCCTCCTGGAGATCCTCTCTGTCTCCCACTTTAGCCACACATCCTGTGAGATCAGTCCAGGTAACTCTCTTCATGCCCCCAGTGTCCCTAGACATGGGGTTCGGTTCCCCTTCTCTCTGGCCAGACAGCCTGCCTGACCCAATACTCACAGGCCACCTTCTCTGCTTGGCTCAGCTGGGTCCAGCTGCCCTTCTCTTTCTCCTTCAGGGCCCGCTGCTCCTCGCTGAGCTCTGTACAGAAGGGTTCGTCGGGCATGGGATAGGAGCGCTGGGCATAGCAGTCAACATAGGGGCTGATCCTCCTCCGCTGGCTGCCAGCTGCAGGTACAAGGGCGGGAGCTGTGTCCAGGCTGCCCCAGAACCACCCATCTTTAACCACGACTTTAATTATAGGTAGTGCATTTCTTGGTCACTGTGTGCCAACCGAAGGCTTTCAGGTATGCTGGCTCATGGGCCACATGTCACTCTAAGCCAGATGATGTGGTCATCTCCATTTGACAGATGGACACTTTTGTTGAGCCTTCAAGCAAGGGACACAGTCAGGGACGCAGGTCACCACCTCTTTGCGGCAAACCTGGTGTTCTCTGCTACGTGACAGCCTGTGTCCAGAAACTAAAATAAAACACGATGAAAGGAAAGGGCCTGAGCGATGACTCCTCCGCGGGTAAAGGCAGTTGCAGAGGCTTGAGTTCAAAATCTACACAAAAGTGGGTGGAGAGAACCGGGCGGTGGTGGCCACGCCTTTAATCCCAGCATTCGGGAGACAGAGGCAGGCAGATCTCTGTGAGTTCGAGACCAGCCTGGACTACCAAGCAAGTTCCAGGACAGCCTCCAAAGCCACAGAGAAATCCTGTCTCAAAAAAACCAAAAAAAAAAAAAAAAAAAGTGGGAGGAGAGAACAATCCCTGAAGCTGCCTTCTGACCTCTACAAGCATGGTGTAGCGTGACCCGTATATCTTGCATATATACAATAATAAATCTAAATGATCCCTACACATCATGCATACAAACAATAATAAACGTTTTAAATCATCAAAGGCCTGGAACACTGCAGTGTTCAGGGATCGTAGGTCCAGAAAGGATGGTTTTCTTCCCAACCTTCTTCTAGAGGCTGTCCTTGGGAGCTAGGCCTCAGCTTAGTCGTGTAGGTGGCCAGGTTGCCCAGAGTAAGGCCAGAAAGTGGAGGGTCTCACTCCAGGTTCTCCTATTCGTGACACCAGAGGCAGGACAGCATCAGAACAAGCCTGGTTCTGAGTCCTCTCATTTTCTCTCCTTCCCTCCCTCCCTCCATCCCTCCTTCCCTCCCTTTCTCCTCCCTCCTTCCCTCCCCCCTCTCACTTCCGAGACAGTCTTGTCCTGTAGTCCAGGTTGATCTCTAACCCACAGTGATCCCCCTGCCTCGATCATCCAAGTGCTGGAGTTGTAAGCAGGAACCTCCATGCCCAGCTTTGCTGCTGTTGTGACAGGAAGTCAGTCCCCAGGCCAAGCTGGTTTGGGATGCCCACAGCCTCCTGAGTCCCCAGACTAAGATGTGAGCCACCATACCGGGCCTCGGGTGCTGTCTGTCTAATATCTACAACTCTGGGCTCTAACTGTTCATCTGAGAAGTAGAGATAGCACTGCTTCACACTGTTGTTGCAAAATCTAAAGTAAAGTGATTAGCACAGCTTGGAGGTCCTTGTAATGGATCAACAAATGTTATCTTCAACATTATTGACCTGAGCATCAGGAGATCCCTTCTGCTATCTGGCTGAAACCTCTCCCGATTTAGACCTCTCCTGACTAGTCCTGGTACCAACGTCAGGAAAGAAGAATTCAGGGTCCCCATCCTTATGGCAGCCTCCCACTTGGGGCACAAAGGTCTTAGTGGGCTAAGGCATAGGAGCCAGGCTCTAATGAAACCTACTCTCTTCTTCCACAGTGGGCTCAGTTTGCGGGAGGAACTTGGTCCAGGACCCAGGGGCAGGATCAAAGGAAGTTGACAGGGCTCCCTGCCAGAGTTCTGGAGCTGGGCTGGACACCTGGGTCCTTACCAGTGCTTCCTGGGCTGTGTGTCCCTCGAGCTCCGAGTCCTCCCGTCCTCATCAGCAGACTCCAGGCAGCTCTGGGAAGCATCTGTGGGGCAGGAGACAGGTGTGGTTCTGCACCACACGGCTCTCTGGCTGCCCCTCACGGCCAGATTTTGATTTGCTGGTGGAGTGGAGGTGACCCTTCCAACTTTGTCTAATAACCACCGTGGGAGTAGATGGAAGAGGGGGTCTAGATCTCTGGAACCTTCTTGGGTCCTCCATCATCTGAGAAGTGGGAGGAGGTCAAGCCTCTGGATAAGGTTGAACAGCTTGGCACTGGGGAACCTGAGCTCTGTTGCCAGTCTCACACCAGCCGGGTGGGAGTCCCACTAAATCGTCCGCCCCAGAGGTAAGTCCCGAGCCTCCTCCCCGCAGAGCAGTTGGCCCAGGTCTCAGAGCAGATGCTCTGCCGTCTTGCTCCGAGGTCTCCTTAATTGACTGCCTACGTGCGTTCTGCCTGCTCCGCTGCAGAAGGAGGGGGCAGACTGCGCCCTACCATCTCTCGGACATGCAGGGTCTGGCATCCCAGTCGCTCTTAAGGCAAAGACCAAACTAGGTCAGCGGGTGGGAGAGGCAATACAGCCTCTATAAAGAGGAAACCCCACTTCCTGGGAAAGAGGGAATGCCCAGGACTAGGACCGCGGTATCAGAACGGGTCAGAGAGGGGATCCCAGGAAGGGAGGGCTGTGCGGTGATGGAGCAAAGGCCACCACGAACACCCCACCCCGACGACCCTTCCCTCGGGAGGGACTCACCTTGCAGGTTGAAGTCAGCGGAGCGGAGCAACTCAGAGCTGCCCCAGAGCTGCCCCGCTGAGTGACTGGCAGGGAATCGCAGACTGGACCAAGGGGACCAGAGTGCGCCCCGCCTCCGCCCGCCACCCCCACGTGGGAACGTCCCGCCTCTGTCGCTTGTGCTGGGCCACGTCTCCAGGGAAAAGAGGGAGGGATGCAGCTGCTCGCCCTGTCCCCACCGGGGCGGGGGGCGGGGGGGGGGCTCCGCAGACCCCTAGCTGGCAGAGAAGCAGGAGGAGGTCCCTTCTTGTCATCCCACAAGGAAAGCTCTTGTTTTGTTTTGAGTCAGGGTTTCGTGTAACCCAGACTGGTCTCAAACTCACTATATAGCAGACACCTGGCTACCTCCAGGTCAGCCTTCCAGCCTCCTACCCTCAAGCATCATTGCGGGTGCTCCTCGGGCTCTCTACCCCGAAAGGGGTGAGGTGTGGGAAGAGAGGAAAGGCGCCTTCAGCCCCAGGCCACCCGCAGTCCCAGGATTCCAGAGGTGGAGGCAGGAGGATTACAAAGTTCAAGGACAGGCTTTGCTACAAGACCCCCCACCCCAAGGAAAGAAAGACAAAGCCTCCCTCTGGATTGTTCATCTGAGCTGTGTGACTCTCAACAAATGACCTGGTGTCTCTGAACTCATTTTCTCTCCCATGAGAGAAGCCTAAGCTTAGTCCTTGCCTCCTGTATTGTGCTTCACTTGCTGTGATAACTTCATTACCAGAAAAAGCTCAGGTACATTTAATAAATAATTACCCATTGATGCAACACTCCGGAGAAAGAGACAGACAATTCTTTGAGCTGGAGACCAACCTGGTCTACATAGTTAGTTCCAGGCCAGCCAAAGTTATATAGTGAGGCACCACCTCAGAAACAAAAATAAACAGAAGAATTATTTATTGATACTGTGCCAGTGAAGCAGCTTAATCCCAGCACTCAGGAACCAGAGGCAGGTGGATCTCCGTGAGTTCAAGGCCAGTCTGATTTACTTAGTGAGTTCCAGAACAGCCAGGGCTATGTAGAGGGGGCCTGTTTCAAAGAAAGATAAATAAATGAAATAAATGTACTATTAATGGGTGTGAGTGTGGGCATACATATGCCATAGTAAGCAAGTGGCGGTCAGAGGATAATTTATTCAGCAAGTGCTCCTACCTGCTGACGAGTTCAAGGCCAACCTGAGCTACAAAGTCAGACCTTGATAGCCAGTGGAGGTAGGTTGGTGACAGACACTTATACTGCCAGCACTCAGGAGGGTGAGGCTGGAGAATCACATTGAATTCAAGGCCAGCCTGGACTACATATAGATTACTGGGCCAGCAAGAGCAATATGGAAAGATCCTACCTCAAAAAGAAAGAAAAAGGGGGTGAGGTGGGGCTGGGGAGCAGGGAGGTGTAGCTCAGATGAAGAATGCTTGCTTAGCATAGACTAGGATTCTCTGTCATGTAGTCTTGAAGAAGCACACCTTGCATCTTCCATGCCACAAACTAGTCCTTCCCTACCCCACCCCCATGCTCTGTACTCCCCAGTGACTGAACCAGGGGCTTGTCTGAAGGTGAGGATATAATTATATCACTACACCCAAGATAAATGATAAATGTGTGTTTGTCGAGGAACAATTACACAGAAAGATACGAAGAACTGCTGGAGCGTTTCCCTGTTCTTCCTGCCGGATCCGGATCCCCTGACCCTCTAGAAAAAGTGCGCCAAGGAAATCCGGGCCTCAAACTCCTCTCTTTCTGCTTCAGTTGGCCTGAAACCACACGCAACACTGTTACAAGTTCACAGAGCAGAGGTCTACACTTGCCACCATGCCCGGCATGCCTTCACTCTTCCCAGATGATGGGAGCTGTATCAGGAGGAGTAGCTCATGTGTGGGTTCTACTACAGCCACACTGAGTGGGCGAGCAGTGTCTCCTCTGGGTCTCAGTTTCCAGTCTCTTGAAGGGCCTCTGGAGGGAAGGCTTCTGTGGAATATGAGGCTCTGTCCTTCCCTATCCTTTCCCACCAGCTTCTGTGGGAATTCCAGGCCCAGGATGTGGAGTGAGGCTATGATGAGGACCATCTGTTTGGAAGCTCTACCCAGGGCTGAGGAAGAGTGAAGACAGGGCCCCCTCCGAGGGCCATGGTAGGTATGGTGGCTCACTGTGCCTGTAGGGCCATTGAAGAACATCCTCTGTGGCTCTTGGACGTGTGACAGACTCTCTGTACATCAAGTCACTCGAGGGTTCTACCCCTGAAATCCCTGGCGAGAATGATCCTTGGGATGCTCTCCTGTAATCTGGGCACTCAGGGGGAGACAGCAGGATAGGGAGTTAAAGGTTATCCTGTTACATAGCAAGTTTGAGGCCAGCTCAGTGGGCTACATGATACTTCAAAACAAAATCCATGGTTGGCACCAGAGTAGGGAACAGTCCTTGTGGGCATTGTCACAGGCCCCAGGGCTACACCTGTAGAGGAAGGGAGGGATTTGTCCATTTTTTGTGGGCACTAAGGGTAAGGTTTGGGCTTGCAGACACCTATAGAAACACGCAGCTAAGCCTAATGTGGTGGTGCACACCTTTAATCCCAGAATTCTGGAAGCAGAGGCAGGTGACCTCTGTGACTCCGAGGCAGTCAGGCTCCACAGAGAAACCCTGCCTTGGAAAACCAAAGAAGAGAAGAGAAGGTGGAGGAGGGGCTCACTATTAACTCAGGCATGGGATTGGGATTTATCCTGCTTGGGGATTCACGGGACTCTTCTGCTCCTGTGATGCCGTCCAGGGCTCGGCATTACATTTAATGTCACATCTTAGCCATTCCACAGCTCTGTGACAGTTCTTCAGGCCTTCCCACTTCTTGGACAACTTTCATTTTTCTTTCCTACCTTGAAGAGTTGGAGTCTGTTGTGTTCATAAGAATTGCCTGCCAGTTTGGATGCTCCGATGTTTTCTCATGATCCAGGTAAAGTTACATGTTGCTGGGGGAAACTTCTTACCTTTCTCAGAGCATCCCTACCAGGGGCATGTGATGTTGAGTTAAGTAACTGGGAAAGCAAACCCTAACTGAGGCTAAACTGGTCTCTACTAGGCTACTTTTTTGTTTGTTTTTTGTTTTTCAAAACAGGGTTTCTCTGTATTGCTTTGGAGCCTGTCCTGGAACTCGCTCTGGAGACCAGGGTGGCCTTGAACTCACAGAGATCTGCCTACCTCTGTCTCCAATGTGCCACCAATGCCCAGCTAGGCTACTTTTTAAAGATTTACTTATTATATATACAGTGTTCTGCCTGAAGGTATACCTGCATGCAAGAAGAGGGCATCAGACCTCATTGTAGATGGTAGTGACTCACCATGTGGTTGCTGGGAATTGAACTCAGAACCACTAGATGAGCAGCCAGTGCTCTTAACCACTGAGCCATCTCTCCAACCCTCTGCTGGGCTTCTTAAAACACTGTAGAATTATTTATTTGTTTTTAAGTTTATGTGTTTGAATGTCTTTTTCCTGCATGTGTGTATATAGTTCTTTGGAGACATGCATGCTTGGTGCCCTAGGAGGCCAGACAGAATTTGATCCCCTGCAACAGAAGTAACATAGCTGTAAGATACTGTAGGTGCTGAGAACTGATTTCAGGTCCTTTGCAAGGGCAGCAAGTGCCCTTAACCATTGAGCCATTATTGATCCAGCCCTACTGTACAATTACTGGTTTGTTTGTTTGTTTTGAGATAGGGTCTTACTATATATAGCCTTAGTTGGTCTGGAACTCACTTTGTAGATAGGCTAGTCTTGAATTCACAGAGGTCCACCTGTCTCTGCCTCCCAAATGCTGGGGTTGAAGGTATGCATCACCATACTTGGCCCATTATTAGTTTTTAGAGAGTTATCTTTATTTATCAATGTGAGTGTATGCCACATGTGTGGGTACCTGCAGAGGCCAGTAGAGAGTGCGGGATCCCCTGAAGTTAGAGTTATAGGTGGTTGTGAGCTGTTGTGCCATGTGCTCGCTGGTAACTGAACAGTAGTCCTCTGGAAGCACTCGTAACCACTGGGCCATCTCTCTAGCCCCAAATATTACTTTACTTTGTGAGGTGTATGTATGTATTTGTGTGTGTGTGTGTGCCCATACGTATGATGTGTGTGATGTGTGCCAGATGTCAGCCTCCAGCCTCCTGTGTCTTCATCTATCACTCTCTGCCTTATCTTATGAAAGAAGGTCTGAACCTTGAGTTCGTTGATTGTCCTTAGCTGGCTAGCCAGCAGACCCAGGGGGAGCCTTTCATCTCTGCCTCCTTAGCCCTGGGGTTATAGGTTCATGTCTCCATAACACACACACACACACACACACACACACACACACACACACACACACACACGCCCTGCTTTCTCTCCTTGACTAGCAATTGACCCTATGGCCTTGTACATGCTAGTGCGTGAAAGACACTGAGCTACGTCCCCAGAACTTTTTAAAAATTCATTTACTTTCTTTTTAAAGTCAGGGTCTTAATAAATGGTCCAGGCGCCGGGCGGTGGTGGCACACGCCTTTAATCCCAGCACTCGGGAGGCAGAGGCAGGCAGATCTCTGTGAGTTCGAGGCCAGGCTAGACTTACAGCCTCCAAAACAATACAGAGAAACCCTGTCTCGTAAAACAAAACAAAACAAAACAAAAAATGGTCCAGGCTACTCACTATGAAGCAAGGCTGGGCTACATGAGACCCTGACTTGAAAGATGAGCAGCTGGGGAGATGGCTCAGTGAGTAAAGGCTCTCTGCTGACCGGAAGTGAGTTTGTCCCCAGGACCCACACGGTGGGAAAAGAGAGAACGACTCCTGGAAGTTGTCCTCTGACCTCCACACGGATGCACCATGCACCCCCTTAAATAAATGAGTAGTAAAAGCAAAGAAAGAGCTATAGTTCGTGTTGGTGATTACAGCTCTGCCCTCACTGAGCTGAGCAGGTATGAAGTGAGATGCGGCTACAAAATCCTCAGCACAAGACCTGACTCTCAGAGGGTGTCTTGGGACAGAGCCTCAGTGTCAGTGGACTGAACTGTAGAAGTGACAACTCTGTGTGACTGCAGGGGGCGGGGTGGGAGGGGGGAAGCAGTAATGTGAAGCAAGGAGTTGCTCTGCAGGAACGTAGTTCGAATGACCTAGGGGGGATTACCTCTGACAGTCATGGTATCAAGGTCTACACCTGTGATCTCAGCACTCAGGAGGCAGGAGCAGAAGGATCAGGAGTTCAAGACCAGCCCGAGATAAGTGAGACCTTGTCTGAACACAAAACAAATGAGCTACAGAAGTGGGGTTTGTCTTTGGAACTCCAGAGCACATCGGTTAGCTTTCCATTGCGTGATACAAAGCTAAGAGAAATAACGTAAAGGTGGGTCATGGTTTCAGATTTCAGGCCATGGCTGACTTCCTTTTCAGGCCTGTGGTACCTCAGGACACAGTGTCAGAACAGAGATGCCACCACTGTATGGTCACCAGTAACAAGAGACAGACAGAGGAAGAGACCAGGGACAAGACACGCCATTCCGCGTCACATCCCCTAGTGGCCTGTTTCCTCCACCCAGGCATTGCCTCCTCTTCTCTGTCACCTTTTAATGATACAGTCAGATTGTGGGGCTGGAGGGGCTGCTCGGCAGTTAGCACTGGCTGCTCTCGAAGAGGACCTGGCTTCAGTTCCCAGCACCCACATGAGGTGGCTCACAACCCTCTGTAATTCTAATTCCAGGGGATCTGGTCCCCTCTTCTAGTCCCTGAACACACATGCATGCATGTAGTGCACATCACAAAAACAAAACTGTTGGGGAAGTCCTGTGTATATGTCAATAAAGCACTGCTGGCCAATAGGAATCTAGATAGGTGGGGCTAGGAGTCCAGGAGGATTCTGGGAAGGAGAAACACAAGAGAGTTCGAGATGTAACGCCATGGGGTAGGAGCCCGAAACTATTCTCCGGTAAGAGACCTACTTAGATTAACAATTATGGGGTAATTACTTAAGTCAGAGCTAGCCAGTAAGAAACAAGCAAGGCCAACAGCTTCATAATTAATACAGCGTCTTGTGTGTTATTTGGGGACTACAACTCGGCAGAGCCCAGGCGACTGGCGGGTGATAAACCAAAGCGGCTAGCAAAGAAAAAGCTTCTCTTTACACAAAACAAAACAAAAAACCTTAAAATTTTAAAATTGGTGCTGGAGGGATGGCTCAGTGATTAAAAGCACTGACTGCTCTTCCAGAGGACCTGGGTTTAATTCCCAGTAACCACATGGCAGCTCACAACCATCTATAACTCTCTACTTTAGGGGATCTAACACCCTCTTTTGGACTTCTTGGGTGTCAGGCATGCACAAGGTACACAGCATACATGTATACTAAACACCCATACACATAAAAAATTTTTTTGAGACAGGGTTTCTCTGTGAAACAGTCTTGGCTATTTTAGAACTCAACTCTGTAGACCAGGCTGGCCTCAAACTCACAGAGATCCCCCTGACTCTGCCTCCCGAGTGCTGGAATTAAAGGTGTGCACCACCTGACCACTAAATTCATAATTAAAGAATTTTTTTGGTTAAAGGCAAGGCTCACAACCAAAAAAAATTTTTAATGTGGGCATTGGTGGTATATACCTTTAATCCCAGCACTCAGGAGACAGAGGGCAGTTGGATTTCTGTGAGTTAGAGGCCAGCCTGGTCTACAGAGTGAGTTCCAGGACAGCCAGGGATACACAGAGAAACCCTGTCTGGAAAAAAAAAATTAATAATGAATCCACTCCCCAGTGGCTTCATCTATGCATGACCTAGTCACCCTTGAGCATTGCCCCTAGCTAGAGACCAAGTCCTGAGTATACACTTTGGGGAACTCACTTTAAATCTGAACCGTAGCCCCAGGGGAACCTGTGCAAGATCCTAAACTGCACTTGGTTCCCGGAGGAGGTGAATTCAGACAAAGGAGAGTTGGCAAACATTGTTTGAAGTTTTCTTTTTTTTTCTTTTCTGCAAGGTCTACAGGTCAAAACAAGTAGAGGGTGCATGTAAGGACCTCCATATCATCACAAGCTTTCCAGAAACACAGCTGCGGGCTCTAGATGTAATGCAGGTGAGCACGTAGGAGCCTCCATAGTATAAGGGTTCAGGCATTACGCTGGTCACCTGGCGGAAGGCACTCAGGCAGTATCCTGGTCAGCACAGGGTTCCTTGACTACTTTGCACACAGGTGCAAAGGACCCCTTTAAAAGAAAGACTCATGTCTACTTATGCTCTCTTTCCCTCTCTACTTCCTGCTGTTTCTCCTGTCTGCCCTCTTCTCTTCTGTCCTGTCTCTGTCTCTCTTTACCTCTTTTCTCTTTCTCATAAAACCTCTCACTGTGCTCTGATTGCCTGGCATGTTTGTCCTTAGCCTCGGTCACCCTAGCCTGCCATGGAATCATCCAAGGCTCACATGTGATTTATTATAACACATCACTGGCTTTCCAGAACTGGAGCTGTGTTCTCAGTGCCCCTGGCTCCGGATGTTGGAAGCTTACATTCCCCTGTCCTCAAAGCCAGGCTCTCTTCAGGGTTGTCCCAAAGTCCACCCAGCTGGGATCAGAGCGGGACTCTAGTATGATAGGCCTAAATGTATTTAACTGCCTTCTTTTATGAAATACACGTTCACTGAGCGACGGCTTTGTGGCAGAACACTCAGGGAGACACAGAGAAGTGCAGTGAACAGGAAAAGATCACCTCAGCTATGCTCCCTCACAAACAAGCCCAAAGTTTGTGTCTTAAACAACTGGGAACTGCCAGGCATGAAGGCTGTAATCTCAGCACCCAGGACACTGAGGCAGAATCGTCTTGAGTTCAAGGCCGCCTGGGCTATATAGTCAGCCTGGGCTAGACTGAGACCCTGCCTCAACGACAACAAACAAAAACAAAACTTCGGAGCAGGGCCTGGCAAAAAACACCTTTAATTCCCGGAAGCAGAGGCAAGCATATCTCTGCAAGTCTAGATAGCAAATTCCAGGCTAGCCGAGGCTACACAGTGAAAGCCAGTCTCTAAAAAACAAAAAACTGGGGTCAGCAGGGCAGTGATGGCACATGCTTTTAATACCAGCGTTCAGGAGGCAGAGGCAGATCTGAGTTCAAGGCCAGCCTGGTCTACAGATCTAGTTCTAGGACAGCCAAGGCTACACACACACACACACACACACACACACACACACACACACACACACACACAAGAAACTACCTGGGGCCACTCCCTGGGTTCTTTGAGTTCGGTCTGTTTTGTTTCTCTGCTGGGCCTCACTCAAACCCAGGGCTTGGAACATGTGAGGCGTGTGCTCCACCCTAACATATACCATGAGCCCCATACAGTTTGTGTCGCAAGACAAGGCCTGTGCTATGATTTGAATAATAGCACAGGCTTGCGGTGTTAGCTCCTGGCCTCCAGGTGGAGGTCCTATTCTAGAAGTTTCTGGAGACTTTAGGAGATGGGACCTAGCTTTAAGAAAGTAGGAGGCAGTCCTTGGGAAAGCATTGTCCCTGCCCCTTTCTGCTGTGGCCCTTCTTGCCTGCCCACTGTTCTGTGAGTTTTCATCCCACACCCTCCCCACTGTGATGGAGCCAACCTTGTGAAGCCATGCACTGACACACCCTCCCAAACCTCTTTGTGTCAGCTGTTTTTGTTTGTTTGGTGGAAAGTGCACTTCACATGTATCTCAGACTGGCCTGGGATTCTGTAGTTGAGGACCATCTTAGGTTTTATGTGGTGTGGCACACCTGTAATCCCAGCTCTTGAAAGGTGATTTCAGGAGGATCAAAAATTCAAGATCACCGCCAGCTGTATAAAGAGTTCAAGGCCACTGAGATCTGCCTGCCTCTGCCTCCCGAGTGCTGGGATTAAAGGCGTGCACCACCACTACCACCCAGCTAAAATGTTATTCTTACTTTGTTTTATGTGCATTGGTGTGAAGGTGTCAGATCCCAGGGAATTGGAGTTGCAGACAGTTGTGGACTACCAATGCCCAGCAAGGAATTGAACCCAGGTCATCTGGAAGAGCAGCCAGTGCTCTTAACTGTTGAGTCATGTCTCAGCCCTAATATACAAGATGTTAATCAGAGCTCTGATGTGGGTGGAAGTTTTTGGATTCTGGGGAACAGTTATCTGAGCACCTGGATACAGACTCATAAACCAAACAAACGGCAACACATACACTTGAATTTAATACTCTCACAGTCCATTAGAGGCCGCCAGGATTCAGGCTGTCTCTGACCCAGATGGGGTTTCTCGCCCGTGCGGGCGCAGTTCCAGTTCTTTCCGAGAGAGGGCGCGAGTGGCCAGATTAAAAACCAGAACCCACATGGCTGATGCTTGCCTTGTGAGGGCCACTGGGGAGGGGTGGGGGAGTCCATTGCTTCACCTCGCAGCAGCTTCCCTCTCCTGGCTTAGAGTTGCCGGGTCTTAAGCCCAAGAATGGAACACAAACAGACACGAAATCGTGATGAAGATCTTGCCTCTCCTCCTAACAAGAACATAACATACAGATTTTACAAATCGCACAAAGAAACCGGTGAACTCTATGCTTATAGGTAAGGAGCCTTGAACTTTAAGCTTCTTCGGTCATTTCAGAATAAATGTGTGCATATTTATATTCATTCACTGTCAGTCTCCATCTAAGAAGGGAAACTCCTAGATGGTACCGAGTCTTGCTGGAAGTTAGTTCCGGTAGTCTGTTTCTGTGCACGGGAAGAAAGAGCTTTCTAACTACAGGATGACTAACAGTTGGGACTCCTATAAATTTCCAGGAGGATTGACAACAGCTTAGCCTGGGGTGCAGGGTGTATAGATTTGACTTTGCTGGGACCTCAGAGCCGTGGACAGAAAACTTGGAGAGCCAGGCAGAAGCAAACATCCGATCAGAGATGTCACTGGGGCTGCTTTCCTGCTTCCCTCCTGGCCCCCAGACATCCTCTCATCTTCTCCTAACCGCTCCTTGCACAAGGCCCTGATGCAACCCTGTGCAGGCCTGGGGCACCTCTCTCGGGGGAAGCTCTGGGAGGGAGGTTTTGCAAGAGTCAGGGGCAGGAAGCCCAGCCAGCCAGGGTGGGGTCAGAGAGATAAGGGAGCCAGGCCTGCTCCCTCCACCTGTGGTTCCTCCTAGCACTGTTTCCTCTTCCCTTCCTTTTCCAGGAAAGTTGTGCCTGGTCCTCACCCCAGCCTCACCCAACTCTTGCCTGGCCCAGTGACTCACCTTTCCCTACAGCAGCCAGGCAGGATCTGAGGTCTGCCTGCCACTTGGGAAACCAGCTGGGCATCAGATAACCATCTCTGGTTGGTGGGTCTGGTGTTCAATAAGATTCAGTGCTATTGCTGGGGGCAGTGACTGGCTCATACTTGTAATTCTAGCAGTTGAGAGGTTGAGGCAGGAGGACTGCTTTGAATTCAAGCCTAGCCTGGGTAACAGAGTAAAACCTTGTCTCAAATTCAAAACAAGCCAAGAGTGGTTGTAACGATGAATAAAAAAGAAAGGCAAAGTGGATGCGTTTCACCAGGCCCTGACAAAGCACGTCACTGAGCAGACACACCATGTGCAGCAGTTAGCTCGAAAGATTTACTAGGGAGGGGGAGAACGAAAGGCCTTGTAGGAGTGGGCACATGAGAGAGGCAGGCAGGCAGACAGACAGACAGACAGACAGAACAGGGAAGAGACAAGAGGAGGAAGAGAAGTAAGAGAGGAGCAAGAGGCAAGAGAGCAAGCTGTGCCTGGTGGACATTTTTTCTTTTTTTTTTTTTAGATTTTTCAAGACAGGGTTTCTATGTGTAGCTTTGTAGACCAGGCTGGCCTTGAACTCACATAGATGCCCCTGCCTCGGCCTCCCAAGTGCTGGGATTAAAGGCATACACCACCACTGCCCCACTCCTGGGGGATATTTTTAAGAGATCCACATGTTGCATAGCTGATGGTGGGAAGGCACTTGGTGACAGGTGATGACATAACCGCTTTGGCAGCAGAGGCAGGCTGCTCCTGCAGCGGAAACTAACAGCGGTGGTGCAGGCCTTTGATCCTAGCACTTTGGGTGCAAAGGCAGGTGGACCACTCTAAGTTGGAGGCCAGCCTGGTCTACATAGTGATCAAGAAAAAAAGAAAGGGGGCTGGAGAGATGGCTCATTAGTTAAGAGCACTGGCTTGTTCTTCCAGAGGACCCAAGTTCTATTCCCAGCACCCACTTGATAGTTTACAACTGTCTGTAACTCCAAGATCTGACACCCTCACACAGACATACATTCGTGCAAAAAACCAATACACGCTGGGTGTTGATGACACATGCCTTTAATCCCAGCACTTGGGAGGCAGAGGCAGGCGGATCTCTGTCAGTTCGAGGCCAGCCTGGTCTACAGAGCGAGTTCCAGGACAGCCTCCAAAACAATACAGAGAAACCCTGTCTCGAAAAACCAAAAAAAAAAAAAAAAAAACAAAAACCCAATGCACATAAATAAAAATAAATAATTGTATAAAAAAAAAGAAATATACCAAGCAAAGAAGGAAAACAAATGTCATTAAGAAAAAAGTCTAAGGCCAGGCAGTGGTGGTGCACACCTTTAATCTCAGCACTTCAGGAGGCAGAGGCAGGTGGAACTCTGTAAGTTTGAGGCCAACCTGATCTACATAGCAAGTTCTGGGACAGTCAGGACTCAACCATTACTACTGTTGCTATTAAAATGAACTTAAACTGGGGAAGCAGAGGCAGGCGGATCTTTGTGAGTTCAAGACCAGCCTGGTCTACAAGAGCTAGTTCCAGGACAGTCTCCAAAGGCACAGAGAGGCCCTGTCTCAAAAAACCAAAAATAAATAAATAAATAAATAAATAAATAAATAAAAAAAATGAGTTTAAGGGGCTGGAGAGATGCTCAGCATTAAAGGCTAGACTTCCAACCAACATAAGCAGGAGATTCCATTGGGTGACTGAGGGGTTAAATAAGTTGATTTTTTTTTGTTTGTTTGTTTGCTTTTTAAGACAAGGTTTCTCTGTGTAACAGTATTGACTGTCCTGGAACTTGCTCTGTTGACCAGGCTGGTCTTGAATTCAGAGATTCACCTGCCTCTGTCCCCCCGAGTGCAGGGACTAAAGGCATGTACCACCACTGCCCAGCGTAAGTTGACATTTTTTAAAATTTAGTATATGTAGCACCTATCACTTATGTATATGAAGTCTCTAATCACTTCTTGGCCTTTAGTCTAAGACCCAGTGTAAGGATAAGGCCCAGCAAATACTAAGCCCTATGTGTTCGCTAAATAAGAAGACCCTGAGTACCCAAGGAACTTGCCCTGTGGTTCTTCTTCAGTCTTTCCCTGTCTGGGAGGGTTTGAGATGTTAATGATTTCCAAAGGAGGAGGATTTGACTTACACACACACACACACACACACACACACACACACACACACACACACACACACACGTTGATGGCCTCTGGCCTTTGGTCTATGGTACACACAGTTGGAATATGCACACACATTGGTGGCCTCTGACCCCCTCCCTCCTTGGTATCTCTTATGCAAGCTGCCGGCGCCCGCCCCGTTCCCAGGCCTGGCTGCAGCTGCGGGCGGAGGGGCAGGGCGGGGGCGGCCGCTGTTTGTCTAGTGCGGCCGTGCCAAAGTCGGCGGGCCCAGACAGCCAGGCGCCTCCGTACACCTGGGGATGCTCAGGTTAAATAGCTCTGCATTCCTCGGGCCCAGCTGATGGAAACGCTCCCAGGCCGCTGCGGAGCCAGCCTCCAGATGGGCTGGGTCTGGGCCAAAGAGGAAGAGAGGGAAACGTGGAAGCCAGAGTGTGCCTGGATAGAGGAGGAAGTGGCCAGGGGCGCAGCGGCCCCTTCCAGGGCTAGAAAAAGGCTCTGCAGGGTAGAGGTGCACGCGGGGACACGCCCACGTCCCGGTGGGTGGGCTTGCGGGGGCGGGGGGAGACTCACATGGTGAGGAAGAGGGTGCACACGTGTGTACGTGTGTGCCTCAGATTAATAATTTCTAACTGTCTTATGTACCAGGCAGTGTGCTAAACTCTGCTGAATTTCATTTATTTTGGACAATTCTGTGAGGTAGTACGCTAAAACTGCCAGATGGAGAGGACACACCAAAGGAATTAATCACCTACAATTACTGTGCTGTTTCTTGCTTGATCAGTTTATGTACCTGGCTTAGTGTTAAAGTTAACATAACTTAGTCAAACTTAGTATAAGTGCCCGACAAATATTTCCAAATTTTATTTCTGTTCAGCTTGTTTCTTCAGTGATAAGATTGTCTCAGAGTTCTGCCTTTAACCCCAACGGGGACCCATGAGGTCCTTCAGGCAGAGGAGCAGTCTAGCTCCTGGCTCTAGGTGCTGTCTATTTGGGTTCCAATCCATATGTTGTATTTTGAGACAGGGTGTCCCTGTGTAGCTCTGGGTTGCCTGGACCTTGCTACACAGACCAGGCTGTCTGGGACCACGCTGGTTGATTTTGTTTAGTGACAAATTATATCAGTCATTCTATTGGGGACAAGTTCTTTGCCTTTTGCCCATCTCTCCATGGGAATTAACCTGGCAGGGATACTTGAAGGGCAGTGTCCCCATGGTCTAACTCACAATTGGCCAAGGAGGTGGGAATTGTATTTTTGAGAAATGGTTTGCCTAAACACAGCTGCCCCACTCTTGCCTTACCTGGCAGTGGCCTAGAAATGCCAAGTAATCGACAATTACAAAGGAGCCCAGTGTGGCTCTACAGCCTGAAACATACACACTACCTACCAATCCAGAGCCAGGCAGGTATGAGCATAGTGCACTACCCGAGCAAAGCCCGAAGGGCTGGAGGGCGCACACTGTCTGCAGAACCCATGTGTGCCTTGCTACACACACCACCCCAAGCCTGCACAGGAGGTGCCCCCGTCCCCTACCAAGTTCCCCGGGTCACACGCAGGCACGCCCAGGCGTTTGTGGGCTCCCCTTATGAGCACAAAGCCACATGTCCAGGTAGACCGAACCTGAGTGAAACCTTTCTTCCTTCTCAGGAGCTGGGGACAAGACTCCCACACAGCAGCCTCTGGGGAAATGTTGATCTGCTAGCAGAGCCAGGCCAGCGCAAGGGGGCTGAGTTCAGACCCAGAGCAGGTGGCCCTGCAGCTGTACACAGCCTAACCCTGCCAAATTTCATCACCCACTTGGACAAGCCGGGAGCCCTAAGGCAGCTTGCTGACATCCAGAGAAAGGTGGCTCAGCGGGGAAGAGGGGGCCTCACAAGTCCTGCTTCAGGCAAGCTAAGACCCTAGGCTGGCTCCTTTGCCTAGGTCTCATCACACACAGACACACACCCCTGCCCTTGGCGAGGAAATGAATGGTCCAGTGACCTGCTTTTCCAACTTGAATGGCATGAATACTCCCCAGCTTAGAGCAGGCCGACCCAGCAGGTCCATCTGCATTTTAACAATCTCCCTGGGTGATCCAGATGGCCCAGCGACCAGTTGAGAGAAGCCCTACAGAGGTCTAGAGGATTTAATTTTATGACACTAGGGAACAGGGAAATGGCCAGGGATGAAGGAAAAGAATAGACATTAAAGACACCGGAAACACTCATTCAGGTCGGAAAGAATGACAGTCCAGATGTGGCCCTCCAATTCCTCGCTTCTCAACCCCAGCTGTGGAAATGGTCAGAGGTCACTCCTGCCCACAGACCCCTCCCCCCAAGCAAGAAGTCACTACAATGTTATCTAAAGTATTTGTTTAATAACAACAAAAACCCACCCCCATAAAACTATTGTAAAACAATATTTTCAGCCAGTGATCATTGTAATATACAATACGAAACATTTCCTCAGAAATCTGAGAAGCACGAAATGTGACCATTTTAAAAAAAATGTCTGCTTTTCAAAAAATAGAAACACTTGGGGTTGGTTAACCCCCTCCTCAAGTCTCTGGGGGCTGAAAGGTGGAGAGGATGAGCCTCCTCTGGTCAACCCTCTTGAGCCCCGTGGCCAGATCCAAGAGTCCGATGACCGCGGTAGTCTTTCCCCGGGCTTCCCTGGGGAACCGAGAGCACTTTATTCCTCTTGCCTCCTGAAGGGCTGGAGTCCATCTGGTCCTCAGTGCACCGCTTCAGCGGCACAAGATGCGATCGTCGGCTGGAACGCATGCCGCCTGTGAACACCAGAGCGAGATAAGGAATGAGACAGGATGAAAAGGAAGGGGAGAGGCGTTCCCACTTCTCCACTCTTAAGGGACACAATGAAGCCAGGGTTTTTTCCCATTAGGCGCCCCTAGATAGTCATGCACCCCAAAAGGTGGACGTACTGCTAACCTCTCCCCCATGGTCTCAGTTTCCCCATCCACAGGAGAATGTTTCGACTCGGACCTCACCTCGGCCGCCAAAGCACTGATCTCGCCATTCAGGGTGCTGAGCGGAGCGCGAACCGGCAGCCCCCGGCCTCCAGCTGTCCCGACTTCGGATTCCGAGTTCAGCTCCAGCTGCAGGTCCCTGATGTAGTCGATAACGTGCTGTAGGATCTCCACCTTGCTCACTTTGCGGTTCTGAGGCAGGGTGGGCACCAGTTCCTTGAGGCGTGAGTAGCAGCCGTTCATGTCGTAGAGCAGGACGTTCACCTGCTGTTCGTCCAGCAGGGCTGGCAGGCGCGTCCCGGCGCAGCGCGAGATGGCTACGCTCTGCTCGGACAGGCCAAGCACAACCTCGCCCGCGCCGCCCGCGGTCCTGCCCGCCTTCAGCGAGCAGCTGGGGCCCGCGGTGGCCGCGGTGCTGGCACTGGCGACCTTCATGATCCTGAGGACAGGCGGAGGAGGCTATGAAGGGAGCGTAGGAAAAGAGCGCGCAGAAGTTGCCGGAAGGTTGTACAATGAGAGGGCTCCCGCTGGAGCCAGTCTTTTATAAGGGCGGACCCAGGGCGGGTTCAGAACGTTCAAAAGCAACCAATGGTTTTTCTGGAGGCGTGGTCTAGCGCGCCCTCGGGTCCCAGCTCCATGCACCCTTAGGCTGACGGAAAGGTGGTACGGCTTAAGAACAGACAGGGTGGGAGCCCGTGGGCAGAGCGGCTAGTGGGCTCTTCCTTAAGGAAGCAAAGAGATTAAGCCAATTTTGCGGATACCAAAAAGACCCCAGGAATCAGCTTCTCGTGGTCTCTTTCTCGATTCTCCAGGTCCGTTTTGCAGATGAGATGAACGGAGAAGTGGCTGGCTCTGGGGTGGTCAGTGGCTAAGGACTAGCCCAGGGTTCCCAGATGCAGTCGGAAGATTGAACTATGATCTCCATTTATCAGAGTCGAATTTTATTTTTATTTAGTTTTGAAGTTTTGTCTGCTCGTGTTTGTCTTGAGACTGAGTCTCAGGTAACCCAGGCTGGACTCAGAGCTTGGTTATGATGCTCGTTACTCCACCTCTCAGGTGCTGAGATTACAGGTGTGCCCTGCTACATCATATTAAGAGCCCTCGCTTACTCTGAACGCCGGGGCTGATCTCAATTTCCAGAAAATGACCTGTAAAGTTCCTAGGACCAGAACCTAAGTCCGTTGAACTGGGAACATCTTTAAGTGGAGGACAGAGTCAGACCTGCACTAGATAGAAGGGTCGCTGTGGAGTGGACTACATCCCCCAATTCCACCCTGGATTTGCAGCCTCTTGCAGAAAGGTCCCAAATCTGCAGCAGCTGGTGATTTTTATTTTTTTTTTCTCTTCTTTTTGCTAGATTTTTTTTTCCGTGAAGCCCGCGGAGCAAGCTCTCCCTCCCACAGAGCAGCAGCTGCGGAGATCGCCCCCTCCCTTTCCTTTCCCGGGCTGGTCTGTGTCAGCGTCTGAACAAGCGGCTCAGACCGTTAGACGCCAGGCCCGTGACGTCACCCATTCATAAAACCCGGACGGGCTGTCAAGCTGGCGCCGCGCGGGCGGTCGTCATGGAGACGGCAAACTGGGCTGGAGCATTCTCCGCTTCTTCCCCCCTCCCCTGAGCCTGTCACCTGCAGACCTTGGGCGGGAGGCCTGGGAATGTGTTCCTCATGGGCGCGGTCGCTGACCAAGGGTCAACTTACTTCCCCGCCCCACACCTGCTGAGTCTCCTCCACCCAGCCCCACAGCTCGGGAGGTTTTCTCACACCCTTCCACCCCAAACCCCTCTTGACCTAGGCCCCTCCCCAGAGGAGTTGGATTCCTACACTGAGATTACAGGTGTGCTCTGTCACGTCATGTTCTGAGACAGATTTTAAAGCCGGCCCTCTTCTGGACTCCGAGGCTGACTCAATTTCCAGAAAGTGAACGTGAAGTTCCTAGGACCAGGACTTAGGTCCACTGACTGGGAGTGATACCAGAAACATCTTTTGGGGGATGGGGGGACGTCTTCCTTTAAGATGGAGGGGAGTTTGAGAAGTAAAGGAGATAGAAAGGTCGCCTTGTGGGAGCATGCTCTCTGCTCTGCTCTGCCTGGTTTGTATTATAGCCACCGACCAGTCGCAGCGCTCTTTCTCGGAACCAGAGCTCTGTGAATCGCCTCCATCTATTGTCGTTTTCTTCATAACACTACAGACGGGCCACTTTAGTTTATTCCCAGGAACCTTAGCTATTGTCTTGGAAACACTGTTACATCAAGGACACAGTGTCATCCTGACGATGTAGCTCGGTTGGTAGACTACCTAGCATGGGGAAAGCCCTGGGTTCTGTCCCCAGCATGCAATAAAACCTATGGTGGAGGCACATGCCTGCAACCTCAGCACTCAGAAGGTGGAGTAGAAGGATCAAGAGTTTATCCTAGCTGGGCAGTGGTTAGACCTTGGAGGCAGAGGGAGGTGGATCTCTGTGGGTTCAAAGCTAACCTGGTCTAGAGAATGAATTCCAGGACAGCCGGGGCTACACAGAGAAATCCTGTCTCCAAAAACAAAACAAATAAAAAGAAAACCAAAAGGCAGGCAAACAAAAAGTTTATACTAAACCACACATTGAGCTCAAGGCCAGGCTGGTATATGGGATATGTATGTGAGGGCCTGTCCCTCACTCTCTCTCCCAAAGAGGACAAGCCACCTGACTCTAGATCCCTAGACAACCAGAAGCAGGAAACTGAGGTTTGTCACTTATCACTCAAGACAACCTGGAGAAACAGGGGTAAATACTGTATGCTCCCTAGGAGAGGGTGACATTATGGTCTCTCCTCCCCACAGCAATGAATTCATACAAATACTTGGCAGAACAATGAATAGCCCAATGCCTGCTGCACCTCAGGAAACCAGGAAAACTGACTAGGGAGGCCAGTTTCAAAGAGGAGGCTGTCACATCTGTAATCCCAGCAATCCTCAAACAATGAGGCAGACGGATCCGCAGGATTAGGAATTTAAGGTCAACCTGTTCTGAAAAACGAAAAAGCAACACGTCAATAACGAGTGGAACTCTCTCCTCCCCAACTCCTTCCAGGCTCCAGTGTTCGCCAAAAGCTAACAATCATATCACAGTAGGTTTGAACTTTGCACTTGCTCAAAAGAGTTGCTTGGTGTTGGTGGTGTGAGGCACTTGCAGCCAAGCCTGAAGGCAGGCAGCGTTCAATCCCCAGAAGCCACATGCTAGACGGAGAGAAATGAGTCCTGCAAGTTGTCCTCTGCCTTCCATGTGCTCATCATGCATTCATAAGACATCTCCTTCTATACACAAAATAAATAAAAACATAAGGTTAGATAATTTTTAAAGAGACTTGCTTGAAGGACTGGAAAGGTACAGGGCAGTCAGAGAAGGAAATTAGACTATTCATAAATTCTCTCTGCTTCTCTGCCTGTCTCTCTGTGCCCCCCCCCTTCTCTTCTGCCAATCTTATCCCCAGAGGCTGGTCTCCCTTCTCCCCTCCTCCCTAGCTCCATTCACTTTTCCCCAATAAAAACCCCTCCACCCAAGCTCTGTTGCATGGCATCTTTCTCTGTGCGCCATTTCTAAAATCACAACACTAACAACTAATCATTCATCACTGGAAACGTTCCACTGTAGTCAATTCCTGCTCAAGGATACTCACGGCTTTGCTGTCTCAAGAGGGTTGCAGCACCTGGGTACCAGCCCTATAATGCTAGCAGAATTCTTTGGGAGCTAAGGAAGACAGACTGCAAGTTTGAAGCCAGTCTAGGTCATACACTGAGTTCAAGGTTGGTCAGAGCAATTGAGGAAGGTCCCATCTCAAATTTTAAGTTTTAGGGGAAAATACATAAATTTAAAAAAAAAAAGTGTAGCCAGGCATTGGTGGCACATGCCTTTAATCCCAGTACTCAGGAGGCAGAGGCAGAGGCAGGTGGATCTCTGTGAGTTCAAGGCCAGCCTGGTCTACAGCCTCCAAAACAATACAGAGAAACCCTGTCTAGAAAAAAAAAAGTTTGTTTTTGATGGGGTTCACTATGTAGCCCAGGCTGGCCTGGAACTCAGAGATCCACTCTTTCTCCCAAGTGCTGTGATTAAGGCATGTACCACCATACCTTAGCATTGTTAATGGGTCACGCCTGATGGTTTACGCCTGTAATCTCAAAACCCCAGGAGGCAGAGGCAGAAAGATCACTGCAGGTGGGAGGCTGATTTTGACCACACAGTCTGTCCCGGGTGGGTAAATAAAAGGCTGGGGGAGTAACTCGTGCTAGATCACTTGTCTAGTGGGTATAAAGACCTAGATTCAACCCCAGCACCACCACAGGGGGAGGGGGAAAACTGTATGACTGATAGGGATTGACACTGAGAACTCAGGTTAAGAGGACAAGAAGAAAACAAGGCCGATGGCTTTTTTTTTTTTTTTTTGAGACAGAGCCTCGTGTCTGGCCTCAAACACACCATGTATCTGAAATTTAAAGTTTACTTATGAACTCCTGACTCTTGCCTCTGCATCTCCAGTGCCCAGTGCTGGGATCTCGGTTGTAAGCCACCATACCAGGTTCCGAATGGATGTGTTTGTTTTTGAGACAAGGTCTCTCACTATGTAGTCCTGCCTGGCCTGGAACTCAAACCAGGCTGGCCTCAGACTCAGAAATTGGAATGATGATATTAGAGGCATGTACCACTATGCCTGGCTATGAATGTGTTTTTTTTTTAACAGAAGCTTATATAGGGCTGTGGGTATAGCTCACAGTGCAGTATTTAGTGTGTCTCCGGCCCTAGGTTCACTCTCAATAGAAACAGAGGTAAAAGAGAAAGAAATAGGCAAGAAAAAAGGGGAAGAAAGAAAAAGAAAAATATGTCTATATGCCTTTGTGTCACACCTCACAGGCTTAGTTCCTACCTCTGGGCCCTGACTGCTTGCTGAGCAGAGGTCAAGGCCAAGAATGCTTTGCGCACAGTAGGGGAAACAGAAATGACGGTACAAGGCTGGCGTTGGTGGCGCATGCCTTTAATCCCAGCACTCGGGAGGCAGAGGCAGGCGGATCTCTGTGAGTTTGAGACCAGCCTGGACTACCAAGCGAGTTCCAGGACAGCCTCCAAAACAATACAGA